CCATTATTATTATTTTTTTAAACTAGAGATTGAACCAAGGGGCATTTTATTACACCCAGCCCTTTCTTTTTTYTTTTTTTTTTTTCTTTTTTAATACCCAGGATTGAACTCAGGGTTGCTTTACCACTGAGCTACATTCCCCCAGCCCTTTTTATTTTTTATTTTGAGACAGGGTCTTACAAAGTTGCTTAGGACCTGGCTTAGTTGCTGAGGCTGCCCTTGAACTCATGATCCTCCTGCATCAGCCTCCCAAGTAGCTGGGATTATAGGTGTGTACCACTGTGCCCAGTTTGTTTTCAGTGATTTTTGTTCATACTTTTTTTGTTGTTTTTTTTTTTAAATATCTTTCTAGTTGTAGATGGGCACACAATATCTTTCTTTATTTTTATGTGGTGCTGAGGATCAAACCCAGTGCCTCATACATGCAAGGCAAGCGCTCTACCACTGAGCCCCAGCCTCAGCCCCATAGTTGTGTTTTTATTAACTTGTATGGAGAGCACTGGACTCCTGAAAATCCGGGCGTTAAACAACCAGCTCTGATGCCTTTGTTCTGATGTATTTGTCCTGCTTGCCACTGACAGGCAAGCTCTGTGGTTCTGGGTTGTCTCTCCTAATATATTTCAGGGTTTTTAACAATGGACCTCCTTAGAAAAATTTTTGGCAGGAGGCTCACAAACTCAGTCAGCTTTTCTGAAGCAGCAGCTTGAGGATGTTCAGAGCAGGAGGCAGGAGGCAGGCCTAGTAAAAGATTTTATTCTGAAAGATGAGATTCAAACTACTTTGTTAGCTGAAGAGCGCTGGTTGTGAGGCTGTGAGGAGAACAGTAGTGTTGTGTGAGTGCGCGGGCAGCCCACACAAACGCAGCTTGTGTTGCGTTGCTTATGGCTTCTGTAGGTTCAACCCCAAGTGTCCCACCAAGGGGAACAGAAGGACATCTTCACATGCTGCTGAGCCCCAGTTGTATTGTCCTGAAGGTTCTTCCTCCTGCAGATTCATATTTGATTTATTTAAGAGGGAAATAAAAGAGGAGGAAATCCTGATCGATGGCAGCTTCCTTGAGAAAAATTTTGAATAAGGGGTATGGGAACAGGCTGACTTCTTAAAAGTTGCAGATTTATAGGAGGCAAGCACGTTTTTCTGATCAATGATCTCTCTCTCTCTCTCTCTCTCTCTCTCTCTCTCTTTTTCTTTCTTTCTTTCTTTCTTTTTTTTTTTTGTAGTATGAGGGATTGAACCCAGAGGCACTCTACTACTGAGCCACCTCTCCAGCTCTTTTAAAATTTTTTTTATTTTGAGACAGGGTCTCACTAAGATGCTGAGGCTGACCTCGAACTTGCAATCCCCACTGCCTTAGCCTCCCAAGCTGCTGGGGTTGCAGGTGTGCACCACCATGCCCAGCCTAACAGATCCCTTTTGTTTGTTCAGGTCTTTGTAGTTTTAAAACACTGTCATTTATATAACCTATTTTGAAGTAGCTGGCAGTAGGTGGCAAAGGGAATTCCTATTCCTATTTTACATAGGTCAGTGGAGCTAAGTCATTGCCAGAGGTTACACAGCTGGTCGATTGTAGGCATGTGACTCAGAACTTCCAACCCACCTCCTTTCTCTTTGATGGGGGCTTTCCCATTTTGTCATGTTGAAAATATCCCTAAWAGGAGGAAAGGGAGGATTGTGTGTGTGTTAGAGGAGGATAGGAAGTTAAAGAGACAGTAGGTCCAGAGAAGTAGGAATGTTTAATTAAAATTCAGACCATCAGGTGGTTCCATATGAGAAGCAAGAGTAGGGAGCATAAACCTCCACCTAACCAAGGGGACATGAGGAATCAGACTCATGGCAGAGGCTGTGGAGGGGTACAGACAAGGGCATGAGCTTTGCCTTTGAGGGCTTTGTGGTAGGAGTAGAAACTCCAGGTACAAGGGAACTGATAAAAGCAGATGGATTGCTGCTGTAGGGACAGGAAGAGAGGTGACCCTTTTCCTGCTCACCGTGGAGAGTCATGGCTGACACCCCT